CATTGGGAATAGACAGGTGCGGTGAATCAGAGATGTGCATTAAGTGGCCAGAATGGTAGGAAATTCATGCGGGGAAAAAAATCAGTGTGGAAGGGAAGGAAGATCTCTAAAGTGTATCTTAGAGTTCTGGCTTCAGTGCAGGGTGGTTAGCAATGCCATTTACCAGAAGGGGAGCTCCAAAAGGAGAGGGCGAGAAGAAGGTATACAGCAGAAAACATTCCGTATTTAAAATTTATTCATGTTGATGATGTTTTACACAGAGTGGTAAAGTTTATTCAGAGTTTATGGAATCTATTTTTTTTTCTTTTTTTTGCCATAAGCATCGTTATTGGCAGTGACAAGTGACCTGAACATGCTCTGTGCACACACAGGTGCAGGAAAATGAACGTGCCCTGTGAGCGCCCAGGACAGGCAGACACTCACTCGCGAACACACAGTTTTGGGTCAGCCTCACTCTTTCCTTCTTCGCTCGTCTTGCCCTTTTCTCCTCATCTGCTTTTTATTGCTGTTTTCTTTTTGTATTTTATAGTATCTTTGTAAGTGGCTTCAAATCCTTTTGGAACAAGATGGTATACAGTCAATAAATATTGCTTAATACATATTCATTATAAGTCAGCCCCTGCAAAGAATGACTGGAATGAGACCTGGAATTTTTTAAACCAAAATTGCTCTTCTTTTTTCTTCATATAAATAAACATAATGTGGATAAGTTGCATCTGCTACTTTTTTTTTTTTTTTGGAATAACAGATACTTGCATTTGCTTAAGATTTTATCCTTTTAATACCAAAACAGCTCTCTCTTTTCCACATCAGCTCTCCCATCCCCCCCACCACCCTGCCAGATATTTCAAAATAAAATTCATCTCTAGACACAGAACCAATGAAAGAAACTTCAGTTTTAAAAGTTACTCAAAATAGACTTTGTAATAAAAGAAACATTTAAAAGATAAGTAAACAATATCAAAAAAAGAATGCATTTGTGGATTATGATCAGAAGAAAATTTTAATCATAGTGAGCTGTAGTTTATGACTTTATGACAGTTACAATAACTTTTCCATTTTTAATATCTCCAGCAAATCCTATAGTCTTCAAAGGACCCATATTTTCATTTTTTCCTCGATTAGCTTATGTTGGTTGCTTTTTGTACTCCCTACCCTGGAATTCCAGCTTTGGCTGTTAGGCAGGTGGCTATCTCAAACCACCTTTGCAGCTCATCTTGGTCCAATGCTCATTGCTCGTGGTCCCTTGAACCCTTATCCTGACTCAGAAGCATAGCAACAGGTAGACCAAGTATGACAGGCAGAGGAAGACAACTGAAGCAAGACAGGGCTGAAAGAGGGGAAGCAAGGATTGCCCTCTGAGACACCTGCTGTGTCATTGCAGATGTGTCATTGCAGATGTCACCTCTGATAATGGCAGCATCCAATTCTGGAACACACAGGGGCTCCACACTCCCTCAGTAGTGAAGCCACCTATCCACCTGGCTTTTGTGGCCCTTACAAACAAGGCCCATTGATTCTTTTTCTGGTGCAGGGTGAGTAATGATGCCGTTTACTGAAAATGAAACCACAGAGGGAGAGGGAAAGAAGACGGCATGAAACAAAATGCGGCTGAGACACCCTTGTCTGGGTGTCTGTGTTCACTTTCACACTTTGTCCCATAATTACCCTCATCTTAAGAGCCCTTTATCCCACTGGGACCACTTTAAGTCCTACCCGTCACTCAAGGCTGAGGGGGCGGAGCTTTTCATTTTTTCTTCTTCTCTAATGTCCTAATTTGGAAATAAACATCTCTTCCTCTTTCACAGCATTTTGCTTCTGTGTCAAGTTCAACACATCATAGTTTACAGGCATCCTCAAACTATGGCCTGCGGGCCACATGCAGCCCGCCTAGGACATTTATCCAGCCCCCTGGGTGTTTTTGCAGCTGCTGCCTGTCCTGCTTAGCAGCTGACTCATCCTGGGACCTACAGTCCTGCCCTCCAATGGTCTGAGGGACAGTGAACTGGCCCCCCTGTTTAAAAAGTTTGAGGACCCCTGGTTTAGCATGTCATCTTCCCAGATGTATAGGTATTTTTGTGTGTGTGCTTGTCATTTCTTTTCTTTCACCCTTAGAAATTTGATTTTGTGGGCAATGCCATATTCCTTTTGGTATTCCTCTGTCTTCATATACTCCAGCATGATGATTCAAACATAAGAGGCATTAAGGAGATTTATTAAGCAATTGAACCAATAGAGGAAGAAAAATTAGAAGTTATCCAAGGGAAGGGCTAAGGGAATGCTATTACTACATGCCAAGGGAGTGGTAGATGAGGCAGAACTATGGATGAGATTAACTGAGGAACTGAAGTTCAGCAAGGCACAAGATGAGAAAGTGGGACTAAGGGAAGTGTGTAACTGGGAAAGGACATCTATTCACCCAGACATTTGGTCTCTCTCCTCCTCCCCTTGATCTTTCCCCCCATCAGCACTCCTAAATCAGTGGACATATGGTTTGCTTTATTTGAGTACAAGACCTAGGAAATCCATGAGAAACAATTCTTACCACAATATAAAGTAGTGCTCATATTTATGAGAAAGCTATTAGGGTGTGTGTTTGTCCTGGGAAACCATCACGCTATGGCAGTTGGCAGGATGGCTGTTTCTCTCCTGTAACTCCCTCAGGTCTACTCTATCTCTAGGTTTTTGCTCATTCCCAATTGGACATATCAACAATGTGTTGAGAGTAGAAAGGGGAGAACGCAGATGCTGATTTTTTTGCTCTCTTTTCATCCCATCCATCCCACCCAGTTAAACACACATACCTGAGCATGAGTTGTGTTTTTTCCATGTGTAAAACCTTGTCTGGCCTCCAACCTCCAATATAGAAGTCCTATGTGCTTTTAGCATCAGATCAACCTGTTTGCTATGGTGCTCATCGTGTCAATTGTGGTAGTGTCCTTATCACACAGTAACCCGCATGGAATTAGAGATTTTGCCTTAACTCATCACTAAATCTAACCCTGCACCACGGTGTCAGGTCCCTATGGGTTCATTAAAGAGTTGAGTGAATATACACAAGCGTGAGAGAATAAAAAATAAAACAAAAGATATTTATCATTTTATATTAGCTTGCTTAAAAATACTCAGCATCTCTTACCTTTGGTTTTTGACTGACTATAGCTTTTTGAGAATTATCAAAGACTATGTTTGAAAAGCTATGATTCTCTTAAATAACAGACAAAAATGAGTTTTTTTTTTAATATTTAATGAGGCAATATCATTGCCAGATGGTTTTACCACTCAGGGCATTTAATATAAAATTTGTTAACATTGTCTTTAATTTGTTTAAATATTTTATGAACATTGTTTTCAAGAGGATTCATATCTGGGGATACTGTTTTATATAATTCTGTTTGGTGGTGGCTCACCTTGTTTTGATAGCTTCTGCTCAAACTGCCTGTAAATGCTTTGGAATCTGAGTGGGAATCAGATCTGTGAATCCCATTCCTTCTTGTTCCACCTTCTAGAGCCCCAGATTAAATCAAAGCGTCTGCCATGGGAGTCTCGGAACCTTCAGATCAGCAGTCCTGATCACAGTTCGTCGTCTTCTGATATGGAATCTAAGTAATCCGTGTCAACATATAGAAGAAACCCAGAGAATAAGCTGTCTGCCCAGCCCGGGTCTGAGAAGAGGCCATTCTGGTCAGTGAAGAATATCTCCAACCAGACTTCATCTTCCGGCTGCAGATAGATGACTGTGGACCCCGAGGCCACGTCATGATTCCCTGTGTTGGCATCGAAGGTCTTTATGCGGTATTGCCCATTGTGTACCAGCCCGATTGCCAGGTGCTTATTAGCCAAAGTGATATCATAAGAAAAGTAATATATCCCTGGGAAAGCACAGATGAACTTCCCAGTGGCGGGGTTGTAGTGCTCTCCCTCGTTGAAGAGGACCTTGTTAAATATGATAGGAAGTCTTTCTTCAGGGTAGCTGGTTGTGATGCCAACAGAAAAGGCGGATTTGAGCACAATGCTCCCACATCTGCAGACGCCAGGCAGCCCTGGTTCCCCTTGCTCTCCTCTGTCTCCCTTTGGTCCAGGAGGCCCGACGGGACCCACTTCTCCTTTCTCTCCCTCTGGTCCCATGGGTCCTTTCTTTCCTGTCTCCCCTTGATCCCCTTTCTCACCAGCAAGCCCCACTGGTCCAGTCTTACCTCTCAAACCTTCAAAAAGAGCATAGAGTTTAATTAATAGTCTTCTAATACACAGAGCACACCTCTACAGTCCCAGCCCGCCCCAACTTTGTCTTTTAAACCAACCCTCAACAGTGTATGTCTAAATAATAAATATGAAGTGGGCAGCGCCTGTGGCTCAAAGGAGTAAGGCACCCGCCCCATATGCCGTAGGGGGCGGGTTCAAACCCAGCCCTGGCCAAAAACTGCAAAAAAAAAAAAAGTCTATAAAAAATAATAATAAACATTAAAAAAATCATTGATGCACTAAAAGTGAAAAGAGAAATTTTTCTTCAGAATTTAAGTCGATTTTTTTGAGTAGGTAAGAAATGATTTAAATCGTGACTGATTTAAAATAATTGACTATCATTTGGATGATGGCTCACCTGCCACTCAATTATTCTGATATAGATATTGGTCACTAGAGCAAGACTTCAATGAACATGAGGCTATGATCTCCCAAAGTGGTCTCATGGGAGCAGGCAGAACCAGAAGGATACTTAGAGGCCATTTAGTCTCATGTCCCATTTTATTTCTACTAAGCTAGGTCAGAAAAGATTTCCTCGGCTGGGCGGGGTGGCTCAGTCTATAATCCCAGCACTCTGGGAGGCCCAAGGCAGGTGGTTTGCTTGAGCTCAGGAGTTCGAGACCAGCCTGAGCAAGAGCAAGACCCTGTCTCTAAAAATAGCTGGGTATTGTGGTGGGCACCTGTAGTTCCAGGTACTTGGAGGCTAACGCAAGAGAATTGCTTGAGGCCAAGAGTTTGAGGTTTGTGTGAGCTATGATGTCATAGCACTCTACCGAGGGTGACAAAGTGAGACTGCCTCAAAATGGGGCAGCGCCTGTGGCTCAATGAGTAGGGCGCTGGCCCTGTATACCGAGGGTGGCAGGTTCAAACCCGGCCCTGGCCAAACTGCAACAACAACAAAAAATAACTAGGCATTGGGGTGGGTGCCTGTAGTCCCAGCTACTTGGGAGGCTGAGGCAAGAGAATCGCCTAAGCCCAGGAGTTGGAGGTTGCTGTGAGCTGTGACGCTACAGCACTCTACCAAGGGTGATAAAGTGAGACTCTGTCTCTAAAAAAATAAATAAATAAATAAAAGGAAAGGATTTCTTCTTAGTTCTCCATGGAATAGGCCTCCCTCGATTTCTTCTTGTGCCATTTCTTCCTTCCTTTCTTTTGTCCATCCATCTACCCATGACTCTGCGTGGCCACGTTCATTTACATTCTTAGTCACCAGGCGAAGGGACAAAGGACACCGGTCATCCTCAAGTCAGCTGTTAGTACCTTGTGATCTGCAAATCTGGGCCATAGCTAAGTTCACAAATACTTAAATTCCTGTGATAAACTGGGGTGCGTAACCTGGTTCATGAGGTAGTCCTAATGTTATTCAGAGGCATTCACATCGCCATGCATTCAGATTCGATAAGACGTTGATATGCTACAATGATCGTGGCAACAGACCAATGAGGGAGACAGATGTTCTAAGCTCTGTATTTCTAATTTAGGGTTGAGAAGCTGGAAAGAAACTACATTGGATTCTGCCTGGACTCGGCTGGAGCGGATGTGGTGAGGGGTGGTCACGAAGGATCCACAAACTAGAAGATGCCTCTGGTGTCATTAAAGGGGACACAGGGAGCAGACGCCCCCAGCCACACTGTGTCCAGTTACAGTGTTGAAAACATATCCGTAAAGCCCCCGGGCTTGGTTCTTGAGTTTCCAGGCAGGCTGAGCCTGTCTTCATGCTGTCCTTACCCATCCTTTCTGAGCTATGATGCGTCTATTGGGTTGAAATCATCTCAGGTTGCAAAAGCCATTTTGGTTTGGACCTTTGTTTTTTTCATTTGTAACATTATTATTATTATTGCTGATAGAGTATCATGAACATTAGATACTAAATGTAAAGTTCTTGATAAGTCATAAGTTCCTAACAAATGGTTATTGTCATGACATATTGTAATTACGTATTTTCATGTTGGTCTCCCCCACACAGCTGTCTGCTGATCAAGGCACCGACAATGTCTTACTGATGTTAGTGTTTCCAGTGTCCGGAATGTTCTTCTTAGCAGGGTGCAATCATGCACTCTTCATCTTCCTAACTAAGGGACAGTTGGTAATATCTGAAGAGATTTTTGGTTGTCGTGGTTTGGGGGGAGTGTGATACTGGCATCTAGTGGGACACTGTCGAACATCCTACAGCACACAGGATAGCCACCCAGAGTGAAGGACATTTCTGTGCAAAATGTTACCGGAGTGGAGGTTGGGAAAACATGGGTCTGTAATAATAGAGATAGTAGTAGATTCACAAATGCGCTGTTGATTGACTAATGCAAGGCACATGATTAATGAATACTGGCCTCATCTATGGTTAAAAGCATAGCAATCCTGAACATTTAATATACTCTGAATGCATAATCACATATACAGGGTGGGCACCCTGTATGTCCACCCTGTATATCTTAAAATTACGACCACCTCATGAAACAAACTACTCGTGTCTAGTGTATTAAATAGTTTAGGATAGTCAAATTTAGCTATGATCCACACAGGTAAATCAAAATGTAGTTAGTAGTAACAGCTAACATTTACTGAGTACTTACCACGTGGCCCTTATTCTGGGGGTGGTTTCATAGACTAGATTGCCCTTAAACTTAGCAATCGGCCTTACTACCTCCAATTTACAAATGAGGCAACTGAGCCGGGGCCGGGGGGGAGGATATTAGCTTGAGGACACTAGATTAGTAGCTGGAAGAGCCAAGACTTGAGCCTGTGTCTTTTTGACTTGAGGTCTTTTTCACATATAGCTGCTAGATACAGTAAACTAAAAGGGCCAGCAGTTTATAACTATAATCTGGTGTTGTTACAGGACTTTAAGGATCTTCAGAATCATGATAACTTGTATCCACAGGTGTTACCCTGTAGATACCCTTGAAAACTTACATTTAAGCTCCACATGAAAGGTTCTTTGTTATTGCACCAAGTTCATAGATTTGGCAGCTACTGATGGGCCAAGTATTTTCTGCATGGCAAATTCAAATAGGAATTCATTTCTGGTAGTCTAAACGCATATCATAGTTTTGTTTCACAGAAAACCAGTAAATCAGGTACGCTGATTAGAGATATATTTCTTAGATCTACTGATGTTTCTCTTCCTATCTTTTGCCCCAACTTTTACAGACGGGAACTTATTTTCCAAGATTGATTCCACATCCTTTCCCCTTTTAGAGTTAACCCAGACTCACTAGAATTTCAATTCGGTTTACTGCAGAATCTGGCAGGCTTCCCGGGCCAACTTATCCTCTGGGGAAAGAAACAGTGAAAATCACTGAAGGACTAAGGGACAAGTGTGCTGCTGTAAAGAGCTATGGAAATCTGGCTGCCACAGACAGGTAGGAAAGTGACGAGGTGGGAAATGTAGGTTGCATGGGGCTATTGTCATTTCATCTGTGAACAATAAAATCTACAAGCCCTTCATGTATTTTTGCTCAGGACAGTAGTGCTGAGCAGGGTGGCACCCGGCTCCCAATTTCTGTCCCCGTGTGGTCTGTCCATCTCCCCTCCCACCCATCTTTCTGTCCAGCCATTGCCTGCCAATTGCAACGGCCTGGTGATTCCTGGCATCGGCTGTTTATGTCCAGCTCGGGCGGTCCCTGGCGTGGTTATCCATGCACGTCTATTCTCAGTAATTCACTTAATGTTCTCATCTATAAAACGTGGAATATGTACCTGAAAGAGATGCCATTACCATAAAATAAGGTAATGGCAGGTGAAGAGTTGGGGGCAGCGCCTAAAGCCTGGACAGGGCTCAGACAATTGCGATAACTGACGGAGGCGGAGCAGAGAAGGACTGAAAGGACCAAGTCCCTTTAGAACAAACAACCACCACAAAAGGGACAGCGGTGAGATGGGTGTCGGGGGTGTGGGGGGCGACTCTGTCGTCATTACCTGCAGCTCCCTTTTCTCCTTTCTCTCCTTTCCTGCCATCTCTGCCGTCTCTTCCCGGAAGGCCGATGCGACCGTGGGGCCCAGGGGAACCAGTTGCCCCAGGAGGCCCTGGGGGGCCAGGTAAGCCAGGAATGCTGCAGATGTACCTCGGGGAGTAGTTCTCTCCTTTCAACTGGTTACCCCGAGGCTGTCCACTTGCACAAATGGCAAAACTTGTAACATAGAGCAAGACGAACATTTTTGGCTCTGGAAGAGAAACACACAGACACAAGTGAGCCCTTTGGGGTCAGGGTGGAGGGAATTTGGTGTAATTGACTCAGTGTGTCTGGTCAGCAATCTTGACCAGCTGACTCAGTGTGAATATGAGAATGCTTGTTGCAGCAGAGCTCACCTTTCCCCACATGCAAGTCTCCGCCTACCCTCATAATTCCATCAAGAACTATGAACATAGGCGGCGCCTGTCGCTCAAGGAGTAGGGCGCCAGCCCCATATACTGAAGGTGGCAGGTTCAAACCCAGCCTCTGCCAAAAAAAAAGAAAAGAAAAGAACAATGAACACGGGTGGTGCCTGTGGCTCAGTGAGTAGGGCATACCGGCCCCATATACTGAGGGTGGCGGGTTCAAATCCAGCCCCAACCAGACTGCAACAAAAAAATAGCCAGGTGTTGTGGCGGGTGCCTGTAGTCCCAGCCACTTGGGAGGTTGAAACAAGAGAATCGCCTAAGCTCAGGAGTTGGAGGTTGCTATGAGCTGTCTGATGCCACAACACTCTCCCAAAGGTGATAAAGTGAGACTCTGTCTCTACAAAAAAAAAAAGAAAAAAGAACTAAGAACACGTTACTGATACAGCATTCCCAGGGCCCTTACAAAAGGGTTGGTGCAGATGAAGAATTGATTCAGAACACTTTCAAAATAAACCACTATGTTTCATTTATTCTTCCATGAGACACTTTGAAAAATGATGTTTTCTTTTCACAAAAATAACGCATCTTTTTGAAAAATTCAGATGAATAGGAGGGTACAGATGACTGGGTTACATTGTGTTTCTGAGGTTCCAGCTGTGGCTGGGGCAGTCGAGCCCGTCACCTGGGGGGGGTGCACCCTCACGGTGTGTCCGCCCGGTGAGCGCTCACCACCCCTCCCTCCTCTCCTTTGCATCTTTTAAAAATAGAGAGAGATGCAAATGAATGAGATAAACATCAGAGATATTTTCTCCTCCCAGCGCTTGACATTTTTCTGCATATTTCCTTCTGGTTTATTTTTGCCCGTGCTAAGGATAAAAGTGACGTCATGCCGTGCCTACAACTCCTTATCTTCTGTCACTTAACAGTGTATTGTGGACATTTGCTCATGTTAAATTTATCCATAACGTTAAAACATTATTCCTAAAAATAGACCTGCCATTCGATCCTATAATTCCTCTACTAGGTATATATCTAGAAGACCGAAAATCACATTATAACAAAGATATTTGTACCAGAATGTTTATTATGGCCCCGTTCATAATGGCTAAGTCACGGAAGAAGCCCAAGTGCCATTGACCCGTGAATGGATTAATCAATTGTGGGATATGTACACCATGGAATTTTATGCAGCCTTAAAGAAGATGGAGACTTTACCTCTTTCATGTTTACATGGATGGAGCTGGAACATATTCTTCTCAGCAAAGTATCTCAAGAATGGAAGAAAAAGTATCCAATGTACTCAGCTTTACTATGAAACCAATTTATAGCTTTTATATGAAAGCCATAAACCAATTATAGCCCAAGAAGAAGGGGAAATGGGAGAGGGAGGGGAGGGGAGGGGGGAGGATGGGTGGAGGGAGGGTAATTGGTGGTGGGAACACACCTACGGTGCATCTTACAAGGGTACATGTGAAATTTACTAAGTGTAGAGTATAAATGTCTTAACACAATATATGAAAATGCTGCAAAGGCTATGTTAACCAGTTTGATGAAAATATTTCAAATTGTATATAAAACCAGTATGTTGTACCCCATGACTGCATTAATGTACACAGCTATGATTTAATTAAAAAAAAGTAAATAAAAAGAATATTTTTAGGATGCAGTCATATCTTATCTTTGCAGTAAAATACTAATCCAAGTAGTAAAAAAAATCACTTCTACCAGAATTCAATCAAAACCTGATTGGGTTACAGAGGAGGGGCAGGGTGTGGGCCAGGTGGGTGGAGAGGCCCTCTCCTATAAAGCCCCTGGCAGGCAGGTCTCACTCCAGATCTCAGCAGTCCCTGGGAGCAGCTGGAAGCCAGGAGAGAACACACAGCAGGAGAGACAGTGGCCATGGCTGAGCACTTCAGAGAGGCAAGTTCATGCACCACCTGCCTAACTTATTTCAAAAACCCTGTGTACTTCAAGTGTGGATATCTGTGCTGCCTCCAATGCATCAAGTCACAGCAGAAGGAGCCCCACAGGGAGAGTTTGCTGTGCCCCGTCTGCTCTGTGGTCTCGCAGGAGAGTGACATCAGGCCCTCTTTGCAGCTGGGGAAGCTGGTGTCCAGGGTCATGGAACTGGAGCCCCAGCTGAGAGCTGTCCTGCAGATGAACCCCAGAATGAGGAAGTTCCAAGTAGACGTGACCTTGGATGTGGACACAGCCAATGACAGTCTCATCATTTCTGATGACCTGAGGAAGGTTCACTGCGGGCGTTTCAAGCAGAATAGGAGGTGGCGAGCTGAGAGATTCAGCAGTGCCCTGTATGTCCTGGGGTCCCCTCGGTTCACTTTGGGCTGTCACTACTGGGAAGTGGACCTGGGCAGGAGTGAAAAATGGGACGTGGGCATCTGCAAGGAATCAGTTACAAGGCAAGGAAAGATTAAACTGTGTACAGAATGGGGCTTCTGGACTGTGGGTATGAGAAGATCGATGATTGTCACTGCCAGAACCTCGCCCCTGACCGCTCTGGTGGTGAATCCCCAGCTCTCCAGGTTGGGGATTCTCCTGGATATGGACGTGGGTACCGTCTCCTTCTACCACGTTGACGACAGGTCCCACATCTTCACGTTCACTAATGTCCCTGCTGCGGAACCTCTGCGGCCATTTTTTGCTCCTTCCAATGTAGCTGACGATGGTCAAAGCTACCTGCGAGTCTGTCCTTCGGTGGATCCAGGCATTGAACCAGCCCTCATCCTGGGCAGGGCGAATGAAGCCAGGGACACAAGATGTCTGTAGAAATTACTGAGCGTCCAGAACCAGAGCTAGAAACGTTTCTGTTTAGTGTAGCGACATAGCAAGAAAAAGTGGTGGGTCACGTTATGACTCATGAATACATTTTCACTTCACAAATTAGGAAACATTTAGATTTCAGATAGAGAATCTCTTGTCATGTTGCTTTGGGGGAGACTTTTGTTTATATTTCTGTGCCAGTATGTATTTTGAACTTTTACACAGTTTGGAGTGTGTTCATTTTTATTTTCCATAAGATCAACTTGGTATGTTGTGGAGCTTAAAGAATAAACAATAATTTGAAAATGAAAAAAATATTATTCCTCTTGGCTCTACTATCTTTTGTGCAAGCTACACGCCCATGGTAGACCTTTAGGATCCTTCCAGTGTTTGCCTCTAATAAACACCAGGCTCGGCACCATTATGACAACCTTCACGTGCATCCCTGATCATTTTCTTAAAACTATGTTCTTGACTTGATAACTGTATGTAATGGTAAGTAGTGTTAGCTGCATGTCCTTGGGGGGGGGTCTCAAACTTTAATCTATAGGTTCTAATGCCATGGTGTCCCATAAGGCACTTAACACTGGTGCTCAATTAGAGAGCCTTGTGACATTAACCCATGTGTGGTACCATGAGCTCTGAGAGACTCAGCCAGCCACTGTGATCTGACTGGACTTGGGTCCTCGTCTCCAAAGGTTGTCAGCTAAGAACGATAGATCATTAATTAGCAGGGCGTCTTGGCTTATAGACTGGGAGTGGTGGGGACAGGGGGAGCAATGTAGCCTGGCAATACCAAATTTCTTAGGTTCAATGGTCCCAGAGATTAGCAGTTTCTTGAATGGAAGAACACAGACAGATGGTCCTGGGTTGTGTAAATGAGTGGTTTTGGCTGGTCAGAGCTGTGCTTTAAACAGATATCCACGTAGTGCCGAAGCTGGCATGCATTCCCTTCAAAGAAATAATGACAAAATGTGGGGAAAGCAATCAGATGGCGTTTCCTTTGTTTTTTGACAGCCACATCAGAAAATCAGCCAGGCTCATGGTACCAGTTCTGTGGTACCCATGGGGAAATTGCATCATCTTGGAATTAGACCCAGAAACTTACCAGAGCACAGGAATGACAAACTGAGATAAACACAGATGCACATGTAGTTCTGAAACAAGCTTGATTCCTAGAAATTTTTTTTAGTGAAAACTCAAGGCAACTCATCCAACTTTAGGTTCTGTATCCTTCACCAAATCTCAGTGTTACCAGTTCAAAAAAAAAAAAAAAAGAAAAAGAAAAAGAAAGAAAAGCTGTCTGCTCCGTCTGCCAGACTGGTCACAGCTGAAACGCAAAATCACGATTCGGTTGGTCATCGGGGATGAATGAACTTCCAACAGTGGAAGAAAAGAAAGAAAAGAAAAGGCATTCATTCACTCACACCCTGACACAGTTAAAACTAGAGGAATCAGTTAAATTAGAAGCTTCTCTTTCTTGTAAACGGCTGGTCAGAGGAAGCTTTGAGAAGGGAAATGTGTGTGTCTCTGTGTGCCCAGAGAGATGCTCCTTAGGAGGTTTTCACACATGCAGACACAAGGCTGCAGGCCAAGGCCAGAGTCGGTTCTAAGAGGAACTTGAAATTAGGGGGAAGAAATTAGGTGGCAGCTCAGACACTGTGACGGGGTGTGGAAATACAACTATGCCAATAGTCGCAGGAGCAATCTGTGAAGAAGAGTGTGGCAAGGCTCCAGCTGGTGGTGGCCAGGGGGGCGTACATGTGAAAGATTACTTGGAAGAAAGGATGTTCAGTTTTTCCAATAGCCGGGCAAAAGGCACTGGAAGAAGGAATGAATTGAAGACACGAAGACAGGTTCACTCATTACTAATGGGTAGCTCTTGACTGACCAAGGCTCTAGAATATTATCTGTACAGGAGTCTGGGGGCTGCTGCAGCTTTTTAACAAACGCACTCACAATACTTAGTGCTTAGCAACACTCATCACGATGTATGGTGGTGAGAGATGTGCTTTGGTGGCCGCGAGGGTAACTAGTTAGCCAAGCCCTGGGACTCGGTCCT